TAACTTTCCTGTTTATCTAAGCAGAACAAGAGCTACTAGAAAGCCTTTATTATGCCTATCACCAAGGAAAAGAGTGTGTACACATTGTGACAGCTGGTAGAGCCAAGCTAGGAGTGCTACAGGCAAGTCGAGCTTTTGTAGGGCTAGCATGACATAGGATCTGGGGGATGTGGATGTAGCGTAGCAGGGCCGCCAAGGGCCAAACTCCAACTGAGAAATAACTGTACTTGCAATTCAAGTCAGCTGGAGCACTGACAAGATTTAAAGTGGGTCAGAGCAGAAGTGTGTGTTTGTGTGTGTGTGTGTGTGTGTATAAATCCATCTGTTTTTCACTCAGTGTTTGTATGTCAGTGCATTTCTAACACTCTGTGTTAACTATTATACTTTGCATTATTGTCTGTGAAAACTGACGATACTTAATCGGTCAAATCTCTCACATAGTCCTTTAGCTAAGATCATGGAAACTTTCTCAATGCTTTGGCATAAACTCTTTCTTTTACTGAGCTGCTGGGAGTTCACCCCTGAGTCAAAACAAATCTTCGTAACTGGAATCCCACAAGACAATTTACATTTTCTTTGTTTAGCTTTCCTCTTACATCTAACAGGGTGGTTTAAGAATGGAATTTACTAGATCTACACCTAAAATAACTTTCCTACACAGCGGGCAGACCTCAAACACAATCCAGACACATCAGTAATAAGTGTCATTTTCTCTAACATCACAAGTCTTGAAGGAGAAAAGCTTTGACTTGCAGCTCGACAAGGACCAGTTATTCTCTCAGGTTTATGAGAGGATGTCAGGACATTGTAGCTATAATTTATTGTATATTTTGTAATATTGTATTTTAAGGGTGAATTCTAATGACTTTGGTGATCTTCTGACTTTGAATTTAGTTACATCATCAGCTTAAAATGTCTGTTTGTCTCAGCTGTACTTTTGGTGCTAATTAGCAACATGTTAAACTAAAATGGTTAAAAAATACCTTCTAAACATCAGCCTGTTAGCATCTTCATTGCAAGCATGTTAGCATGCTGACATTAGCGTTTAGATCAATGTACAGCCAAGTACAACCACAGAGACCTGCTGGCATGATTGTGGTTGGGATTCAAATAGAAAAGGTCTTAGTGTTTCAACAATGAAGGAGACTGTGTTGGTGGTGGAGTATTGTCTAAGGCAGTGGTTCTCAGCCTGGGTTCTGGGGACCCCCAGAAGTCTTTGAGAGAGAAGGTACCAGTGAGACAATGAAATATGATCCAGGAAGTCCAGTTGGAGTGACAGCTTTAAAGGCCTCACCAAAACACTGCACAGCTGTTTGTAATACTCCTAGGATTTTACAACTCAATGTTATAGTGAGGAAAGTTATCACAGTGAGACTATTGATAACTGCTGTTGTATCTTTGTTGGGACGATTGCGAGGTAAACAGCAGAAATACAACGTTATAAAATAAGATACCAGAAATGTGTGCCTACATGTGTGGCAGCGCCTTAATGGAGGACGTTGCCACAGCTTGTTGGCACCCACACTGTGGCTCCATTGGCTAGACTGGCTTAGCCTGATTGCGACACTAGTTTTGTTAGTACTAAATGAAAGTCAAAAGAAAAGGTGGCACATATGTACACATATTATGTTAAATTTTATATATTGGTCTCATGTCTGATCAACCTGATTCACTTTTACAAAAAAAGGCAGGATGGTAATCTTATAAGGTTGGACCTTCTTACATTTCAGTTTCAACTACTGACATGACATAAGTCTAAACTGAAGACAACAACCATCCTGTGCCTTTCAGTAAAGTAACAGTATTCATACATGAGCAGGACACTGTGAAAGCAGAAAAAAATATTATACAGCTTTTAAATCTGCTTAATACTTTGCCTTCAGTAGGTGTCTTTCAGGCTGATGCACGCACATAAACAGCCTGAGACGTGCTTGAAAATTAAACTCCACTCTTCAGCACACCTGCATCCAATTACGCTCAAAGGATCTGATCAATCTTAACTATCAGGGTCTCATCGGTGCTACTGCTCGGTGGAGAATTCTGCCAGGCACCTCCTGTCACACTCAGAGGTGGATTACACACTTTACAGACACGAAAAAACGTGTGTGTGTGTGTGTGAACCACTCCTAAGTTTAAAAAAAAACTATGTTCTAAGGAAGGAAATCACAAGAGATTGATTAGAATATATGGCATCTGTGCATTTAAAGATATCAGAATATTGTTTGTAGACTGACTGAAAATACGACCCATATTTTGTTAATAAGTGTGAAATTGGAAAGTGACTCTGTATCTTCGGCCCATTGGTTTCTTTGGTAAATTCTTATTTTTCAAGCATGAGTCCCCACATGCTTTGATCAAATTTTGTGATGCATGCATGGTTTTCATTATGATAGATTTCCACTGGCTTTATTATGGGCTGATGGGATTTGTCTCACTTAAGCCTAATAGATGTCATAGCTGTCTCGTTGACTTTATTCTCAACAACAATTCAAGAATAAATTGCAACAACAATGTTAAGTGAAAATGTCTTTCTTGTTTGTATAATGTGCTTGTGGTCTTCATCCTTTTCTCCCTCTCCTCTCTGTATTCAGGATTTCAGCTTTTGTTTCTGCTCACATTCTTTGTAAAATTCTTCCAAAAATACAATACACAACCAGAAAATTATACACAGCAGGACCATTTCCCCTCTGCTCATTTGTAATTCCTCCTCTCACTTTTCTCAGCCTTTCTTCACTAAAAACCAAAGCAAAGTAAAGAAGATAAGAAATCTAAACTATAATTTAAATTAATATATGTTGTCATGTCACCAGACATATGTTGGATTTCTGCTATAATTATCTAGCCTTCTCATTTCTATACTGAAAAGGGACAGGATCTGATAAAGTCTGCCTGTTGTATTCCTGTTGGTCAGCAAAGAAGCTCATAAATTACTGATAGGTAATAGATTCCTCTTTTAACAGGCTTTATTAGATTGTTTTATGTGTTTAATGTTCTAATTACTATGCAATCAAGACACCACCTCAGTAATTTTTTTAAAGAACTTTCTTTGTTCCACTGTTCTTCATTAATCAAAAGTCTCTCCAATTTTCACATTGAAAGGTTATTTATGTACACAAGAATCAAAGTTTTTAAGAAAGAAAATCTTAAATGTGGAAGTTTCTCTAGTTTCTCAAGATTAATTAAATGCCCTTTCTGAAAATTGAAATCTCAGGAAATGTCCTGTTTTTTAATTTTTTCTCTGTTATATAATTTTATCACAAGATTAAAATAATTAGGAGAGGAGGAGTAATTTTTCCAGCCTTAGTTCAGGTGTCAGCATCCAACCATTACTAACATATGATAACTGCACTTGAGTAGATTCCCTTTTGCGCTCCACCACCATCAAAACATGTATGTTAGGTTAATTTTCCAGTCAGTGCCTTGGTCAGATCTGGAGTTTGTCCCGACTGTTCCTAGTACTCAGGATTGGTCAAATACAGAGAATGGATTTTCCTATGGGGATCAATAAAGGATATCTTAACTAACTTAAGTGTATACAGCCACATTAGAGGGTCTATGAGACTGTACATAGGTACAGCATGCTATTTGTTAAATGCTAATACAGCTTAGTAATGGTAAATGGTAAATGGATTGTACTTGTATAGCACCTTTCTAGTCTTCTGACCACTCAAAGCACTTTTATACCACATACCACATTGGCCCTTTCACACACATTCACACAGTGATGGCAACAGAAACTAACTTATTCACTCACACACCAATGACACAGGATCAGGAGCAATTTGGGGTTCAGTATCTTGCTCAAGGATACTTCAACATAAGGCAAGGAGCCAGGGATTGAACCAACAAGCATTGTTAGCATTATAACATTTGCAAATCAGCCCTAAACATGAACATTTCACTCAAAACCACAAACATCAACCTTATCAAAGTCATTAGGATTCATGCTCTGGGGATCACCAATGTCTGTAGAAAATATTGTGCCAGCCCATCAAGTAGATATTGGGATATTTCACATAAAATAATGGAAAACTTTGACCTTCTGGTAGCACAAGAGGGAATGACAGAGGATCATCAGAGTCACAAGGGTTCAATCTCTGGGCACCATGGATATTTATACCAAATTTCATTGCAATCCATAAAATGGATATTTTGATATTTCAATAAAAGCCAAGTTTAAAACTGAAAAATCACAAGATCACCAAAGTCAGTAGGATTCACCTTGTAGGAACCATCAGTGTTTGCAAATTTCATCTCAGTCCATTAGTCTGGACCAAAGTGGTAAACAACCAACCACCTGACATCCGTGCACCTCTTGTTAGCATGGCAACCAAGAGGTGCACTGCTGCATATCAACAGTGTTGGTGCCACTGGTTGGACAAAAGAGGCACTGGGGCATGAGACATTAGTGTTAACATTAAAGGATGGTCAGGCTGCTGTGGATGACCCATGTGTCCAATAATATGCTTTTATTTAAGAGAACCTACAGTGCATTCAGTATTACACACCTGTGATTTGTCTCAAATCAATTTTTCACCCACTGGTGAAGATAATGTGTATCTAGCATCTCCAATGTTTCTTGTGTGACAAGCCATTTTGTATCATGTACCATCATCACAGGTCATCTTGTAACCCTGACAGTTAGACCAATGGATTCATACCTTAAATGTGTTATTATCTGTGACTTGCAACCATACACATCTATGAATTTCCAAGAACTAGCAGGAGGGTGATACCATTAAATCCCATCTTTATTTTTATCATTATGTGTGTACTTGTTGATGTTAATAAATGGGAAGGAAAGCAAGACAGGACTGTATTGTGTCCAGAATGTTGCAGCACAAACTACCTCACTGGTGGTGTTAACAGACAACATAAAATTACATGTCTTGTTTTCATAATAATGTTGCTTTTGTCATTTTATAACAAATGGTTGGGAGAGTTGCTAGCATGCATTTCTTTTATAGCACCTCCATCCTGAAATATTTTTCCCTTTTTAGGTTCTTTGTCAACTTCCCATCGGCCAAACAGTACTTCAGCCAGTTCCAGGACATGGAGGACCCAGAGGAGATGGAGCGAAGCAGCCAACTTCGACATCATGCCCGCAGAGTGATGAACGCCATCAATACTGTGGTGGAGAACCTCCATGACCCGGAGAAGGTGTCGTCAGTGCTGGCCCTGGTGGGAAAGGCCCATGCAATCAAACACAAGGTGGAACCCATGTACTTCAAGGTAACATCAAAGTATAATCCACTGTCTGATTCAGGGATGTCACGAGAACCGATATTTCGGTACCAAGTTGATGCCAACGTTTTGAAAATGTGACGGTACTCGTTTTTCTACGGTACTATAAGTACCGTAAGTACCGGGAAATCAATTCTTCCCGACCTGATGGGGAACCTCCTGTACAGTCTAATGACTGTCACAGTGCTCTGCAGAGACACACAGAGACAGACGCTCTGGCGCAGATAAGTGTAAAGACAAAGTGATCAGCAGTGAACACATCAGCTGGTGTCGTTTCAAGCGTTTTTATAGCTGTTATTAAAATGGAATCGCAGGTGAAACAATCTTAAACATGATTTGTGTTTTTCTGCTTTAATTTTTTTATAACGGCTGCTCTGCGTACTTTTTTCTTTAACTGACATGAGTCCTAAAATCATGATAATTTCTGTTCATTAGACTTTCTTATAGTTTGTGTACTCTGCTACCACTAAAGGCTGCTATTTTATAGTTCTCTATGTATAGCATAGCCCTACATACTTTACCACTTGCTGTATGTTTTTATTCACACAGGAGTTGTAAGGTGTGTAATTAGTATAGTGTGACAGCACTCCTACAGGGGTTACAGCCTGCCTCACACTTCTGGACCACACTGCAACCACACCCAGCATCACTGATGGAGGTTGCCACAGACCTCAAATCTTCAGTCAAAAAGGGAAGTCAAACAACTGTTTTCACCTTGGTTATCACTGGTAAGTTATTTGTGAAGTTGTGGTGGTTTCCTGATTGTGCTTAATATAACAGTATATTACGTTGTCCGTCGTGTCATTAGACTATACTTCTTTTTTACTATGCAGAACATCTGCTGATCAAGAAAACTTGAAGAAAGGCTCTGGGGTGAAATCAGGGGCCCCATAAACCTCTTAATTACATATTTGTGTTTTGTTCTGAACAAAGTTATCATTTCTAACTTGCGTTTAAACAAGACATATGGCTTCATAAACAATATCGCACCACAGGTGCAAAAGGGTAATAGCTGCAATTCTTTGACATAAACAGATAAGATCAAAACAGGGATTATGATTGTTTGACCTTTTTTGGAGTTTAGATTCTCCTGTCGATATTAGATTGGTAAATAAGGAAAATTTCAAGGGCTGCTGGAAAGCCAAGAAAATACTTCAGCTGTGGTACTTTTTACAGGGAAAGAGATCACTTGGACAATTATCTTTCAAGACACAGTTTCGAACCAATCAAAGTGGCCACAACGAGGAAAAAAGGCATTTCTCCTACAGGTGAACAACACCCCTCGTTGGGAATGCCTACCTTAAGGCGGGATTGTTGGGAGGGCAATACTGGGAAAATATAAAATAATAACCATTATTCAAAGCAGACATGGCCCAGGGCTGACAGAACTTGACAAGACCAGGGCTGGTGATTAAGCTC